CTCAGTGTAGTAACAGTAACAGTGCATTGGGTGTCCTAGTATCTGGACAAGGGAAATGAATGACAGCAATGTTATGAGACATGAGAGGGAGGACTTGGAACTGCCCTGTCATAAGCTTCCTTACGACTAGTGAAGCCGTGTAATGTAATTTGAGAGTGCACTGGGATTTGTCATAAATGTGTGTTGCGAACTCTAGGGCAACCACTGAGGCAATTTTTAAAAGAGATGCAGTAGATATACTAAGAGAAGAGGGAAAATGGAATTATAAAATGGAGTTACAAGTATCTGAAACAACCTCATGGAAGGGAATTTGGGGGCAGGGACTGTTCCAGGTACCTTTGGAAATGAGAGACATCTGTAAGATGAAGGCAGTGGGAACTGCATGTGATCGCTGAACCCGACTTGATGAGGTTGTTTCTCACGGTGGTCTGGGTTAACAATTCTGCAGCCGCTATATATGTCATGCTGGGATGGAACAACTAAATAAATCGATGATCAATGGTGGAGGTGGGAATTTACAGATACAAAAGGTAGGGGAGTTACGAGAAAAAAGTAGGAAGTGTACACGTAATAATATGTGTAAACAGCTTTGTATACTGAAGGTATTATTATTTACATATAATGTTTGTACTCTGAAGTTATTGTTTATTATACATGAAGTCTTATTACTTTCACATTATTTCATGCATAATTTGGACCATGGACTTCAGAGATGAGAGACTGTTCCAAAAAGCTCAGAACTTTTTCAGACAGAGCTTTCAACAAATTGGTCTATCTTCTGAAGTGCTCGTTCATCTAGACAGTTCCTGTGTACTGTGCACAGGAGCTGTGTACATCAGGGCAGTTTCTCTAAAATACCTAAAGCAAAAGAAACAGGTGATTATGAAAATAAAGTTTAAAAATACAACATTAACTGCTCCCAAGGGATGCCCAAAAGTGTGGGTAGAAAGTAGAAAATTTTTTATGTTTTGTTTGAGATACTGCCAAATACCTGGATGTTTCCAAATACACAGTCACAGTTTTAGTGCAACAGAGACTGAGCATCTGGACATTTGAATTTTTCTCTTTCCAGCTGACTATCAGCTGGAAATATCAGTTGACATGATGTAGACGTGGGCAAAGCCTCAACGTTAAATTATTTCCAAATGCTTTTAGCCGCATTTAATTAAAAAATACAATTTCATTCAACATCGTCCTCTCCACCTTCTTTTGTTTCCTACTTTTCGTATCTGCAGGAAATGGGGGAGGAGGCACCAAAAAAGAACCCTTCTACTCTCCTTCAAATCAATAGAAAGCCTGATGATACACACACAGAAATTGGACTTCACACACACACTGTTGACTTGCATCAATACACAAGCAAATAATTTGCCACAAGTTGAAACATTGCTCTATTTAAATCAAAGTTCCTGCCTATTAATAGCTGTGAAACACTAGCACATATTGCTGTACCAATAAAGCATCTATTGAGTCTTTTTAAAATGAGGCAAGACACAAATACATACAAAGTTGCATACCTACATCCACACATACCATGGCAGAATCAACAGTCTAAATTGAATGGAATAGAAATATGGACCAAGTGAATTTCTAAGAGCCCTTCATATGCCAGGATTCTGTACTTTTACTTGTTCGAATTGTCCACACTTCCATTTACTGACTTTGCACGGATAGCAGCAATATTTTCTGGAGTCATTTATTCTCAGGATAATTTTCTGCTTACCTTTGAGCATCTCCCTCCGTGCCCACCCACACAAATACACACAGACACACCCGCCAATGGTTGCAGGCAAGTTGGGGATTTACAGTGCAAAGGGAATGGGCATCACATAACTTTCTTTCTCTCTCCTTTTTTTCTTTCTTTCGCTTGATGTGACCCATTCATCATTCTGTACAATTAGACAAATGAAGAGATATCTTTGTTTTGTCTTGATTAGCAGTTCTTCTCAGATTCATCATGTGCCTGGCCCCAAGAACAAACATGGTACCTTTGGGCAGCATCGTATTTGTCAGGAAATTCCTCCTGCCACGATATGTGGGTGGGGAGGCTGGGGTGATGTGATCCAGATGCACGGGCTGCCCTCCGCCGGGAATGCAGATGTGTTTTATCCGCACATGCCCAGATGGTGACCCCTCTGGCATCATTAATGTGTCCCAGCTGCCAACCTTTCTCCTCCGCAAGCTTGCACCTCCATTTCACGTATTTCATGTGTTTATTTATGAGGAACAACATTCCTGCATTTCATATGTGGCAGTTACTATTAAAAATGAGAAGTTTTAACTGCTCTGGAAATTGATAAAGAATCTTTTAAATTGCTCTGAAATGTGGCCCTCATTTCAAAATGACTTCCCATGCAATTATTGAATTCATAATGTGAATTTCTGACCTTTCCCCTGGCTGGTTGAGAAAATATGACATTGAGTACACACTTTATAGATAGTTAAGAAATTAAATATTTGCATATACAACACGCTATAGGGACTTTTTTTCTTTACTTTCCTTTATTTCTGATCTCCAAGGCCTATTTTTTAAAAGTAGCATGTCTATACATTTGAACATTGTTATGTACTGTTAATGAAAGACAGGCATCACGTAAGAGAAATTTGGCATCTTCTAGAAATGGGTTGCAATTATAGATCTACAGGGAGAGAACTAGTTTTATAAAAAACCAGTCATCGCTTCAAACTACAGTAAAGTGTAACTCCACCGATCAGAGGAAATAGATTAGTCTTGTAAACTTTGGCTTATAGTCTAAAGTATAAAATATAAGAGGATGGTCATTTCACTAAATTAAAATGAACTAAATCTTTTTATTTTTCAAAAAAATCAGCATTTATGGGGTAAATGTTAAAGTGAATCAAATTCTTAAAACAAAAGGATGAAAAATGCAAATGATAGATGATCAGATTTTGAAAGATGGAGTTTATGTCCATTTCCTTCTTTCATATCAGAAGTAATGAACAAAAGAAGCCAGAATCTATCATTTATCCTCTATAACCATCTCCATGATGAGCTAGAGGAAATGAATGACCAAAATACTGAGGAGAATTTTTTAAGAGGCTACACACTCTTATTATCCATAGCAGAGTCACGGTTCTGATGCTGAGTGCTAAAGGAAACTGGGCGTGAGTCCTGGTTATCTAGCCTGTGGTTTCTGGCCCTCATGAGAAACTATTCTGCTCCCTCAAGTAAAGCTTGTTTTTCCTATTTGGATATATACACATTTATCTCAATTTCAAAAATAAAGGTGCAAACTCATTCATTACCTTTGACCACCCCCACAAAGCAGGACAGAAGATTAAAGCAATGATCTGACGAATCCAGGCAGGAGTGAAGAATATTTATTCTTCTGTGGAAGTACTGCTTGAAACTTAAAAACCAAAAAAGTAAGTGATAGGATATTTTTTTTCCCAAACTCTCCAAATAGTTACTTCAGATTTACTCTGTGTGTATCTTTGTCCAAATGCATATGTATCATAACAGCTGTCATGTTCTCTGAGAGGAGATTTAGAGGCACCCTAAGAAGACTTCAGATCCAGGCCATTCACGGGGATGAAGAAATAAAAAGAATGAAAAGCCTGGAAAAATGTATCTTCTCGTTTGACATGGAAAGAAGAATGACTGTGGCCTGGCCTTTTTCATTTACACTTTGAAGTTCTATCAAATAATTTCAGTTACTGACTTCGAGACTATTATCACCAAGTTCTTATTAAAAGATCCAAAAACTTTTTTAAAGTAGACTCTTTTGTCTAAATCACCTCCTTTTATCACCAAGATGAACAAAGTTAGCAAATGGCATGTCTTTTTTATACTCAGGTGATAAACCTGTGACACACATGCTCTGAAAGCTCTTTCCACATCACTGGCAGACATAATTAATTGATCGTGATACTCTTTATTGATAAACCAGAACCCAGGCTCAGAATCTTCCTCGATAGAGCATTGCCAGGTGCCATGACCAATTAAAGTCCACACCTGAGACAAAACCTCTTTGCCATCCCCCTTGTATACTGGTGCTGAGCAAATATAGGTGGTCAGTCCAAATGTGATAAAACATAAAAGTCCAAAGGTTATTGCTATTATTTCAACCTATCTGCTTTTTACAGGTTGGTGAATAGCTGGTACTAGGCCTGATCTATAGAGTAGAAGCGTCACTATGGCAACTGTATCAAGTCATTGACCCACAGCCCATCAGCGCAGTCTGTCCTGCTTCCTGCCATGTGGGATTGAGGCCAGTCAACTTAAAGGACCCTCTGAAGGCTACCTGGACTCATGTCAGTGGTACAGGCCACAAGGGGTGACAGACAGAGGGACAGGAAAGGGTCTAATCTACAACTTGGGCTGCTTGGAAAAGGCACCAGTAATTGGAGAGAAAAGACCAGAAGCAAACCGGTGGGTTGCAGATCTGATCATCAGGCGCAAGATAACCCCACAGCTGCGGTAAGAGGCTTAACGCTGAGGAGCGCGCTGGGACAGCGGGCAGGAGACCTCCCAGACGCTGCTCTGACTCCACTTCCGCCTTTGCCGGCACCGTGCATTTGCACACGTGCCGGGATAGTAACAACAGCCCCTCAGCATCCAGTAGTGTTTCCAGAGCGCTCTCCCAGCTGTGATCTCACTTGTTCCCCACCTTGGTCAGCCCAGGGAAGCAGGCACTGCGGTTCCCCAATTTTAACAACTCAAGTGAGGCTCATTAGTCCATAATCACATTGCTATTGCAGCCTAAAGTTGCTTTCATCTGAAGTATCCAGAGGAAGGAGGTGATGGAAGGTGGGTGTTTTGAATTACTTCCCACCCGAGTGTCCAGATAATGACGCCGACCTGCTCCATAGCTACGCATGCGCAGAACAGCTTGCAGTTGAGTGGGGAGCCAGTTGCATGTTCCAGACAGGATTGTGAAGGTGGCTTCCCCCAGCGTAGCTTCTGAATTGTTTACTAGTGGGTGTGCCATCTAGACCCTCAGTCACTGAAGGAGACTTTCTGTTCATCTCTCTGACAGCTGGTGACCCTGTTGCAGATGTGGGTTGTCCCTTTGTATTTCACGATAAAACTTTACTGGTGGCGGTTTCTGTCTCTTTGGGGAATGTTCTCAGTTACCACCAGTTACATCCTCTTCAGAGCTACCCGAAAACCCCTCTCAGGGGGAACACCACGGTACGTACATATTCGCTTCCTTCTTTGCCCATCATGCCCTTACTTTAACCATTAAAAATTATATTTAATTTCCATTTTCCTGATGGAGAGGAGGGTGTGACACTCCTTTGACCCTTTAGAGCAAAACTAGTGAGAGATCAGCTATACTGCTGTGAGTTCACGGAGGACATTTAACGGTGATTCAGACACGCCTGTAAAATCTATGACTTCAGATACTAGCTTGTGAAGGCCAGGAGAAAGAGAAGTGAAACTATTGTTTAAATTCTCTGGAGCACTATTTGCACGGTAACCTTTGAGCTCAGCATTTTATGCGATCCCACTCTAAGTCGAGTCACACGCATTTTATAATAAAGCAAGAGTCAGAAGTTTGTACTTCTAGCAATGAGGTATGTATTTTATGTCTGATAAATCATGAGTAATGGACAACTTATTACTTTCGGAATAAATGTGGTTTTAATATTCCAATGCTCACTTTAATTATCATTGCCAACCTCTTGAAATTTATGTAATTCCATCAGATCATCCACAAATCTTTCCAAAGTGCTTATAATCTCATAAAGTTTCCACAAGTTTGTTCTTATTCTCCTGGTTCTGGAGACTAGATCTGAATCCAATCCACATGCAATTGATGAGCTAAAGAGAAAATATGGAGCATTAAATGGACATTAGACAATGTCAAGTTTTGATCTGTGATGGAGAGTAAATTCTAAGTGGCTGTGAAATAGTTTTATGATTATTTAGCCATTGGGGTGTTTGTTTCTAATCCCCTAGAAAAATGGGAGAGACAAACATCAACTATTTCTTCTACTTTAGAGAAGGAAAATCTGTTCAGCGAGAGAAATCAAATACATGTGATGAGAAAGAGTGACATTCAAAGAAATGAATTCAAGCTTATGAGTATTTTAATTTAACACCACTTAGGCAAGAGCTTTAGGGTGGTTTTAGGAGACTTCCTAAACTGGCCAGTTTGGGGTTTTATGCAGCCTTTGTAGGGCCTGGTTTACTCCTCAGTAAATGGGCATATGGTACCCCTTCTCCTTCTTACAAAATGCTGTCAGTTACTTAAGACTGTGAGAGTGGTCTAAGTTTTGGATGAATTGAAATGCACTTGTTTTCATCCCCTGGATGTAATCCGTATTCTATTTCAGTGAAAACGGTTCACTTTCCTACTGTATAATGAATTACCTAAGCTAAACACAGTACTTCTGTGCCCGTGAAGCGGAACTCCATTCCCCAGAATACCCAAATCTGCCTCCTGACACGTCATGGCTCCTCCGTCTCAGGAGGCCAGGGTCTCGTGCCCTCTGCTTCTCGTGTTAGCAGTGCTCCCACCTCAGGTCCTTCCTGCCTGTGCTGCTCTGAGCCTGGCACAGTGTGAGAGCCAAGACACTCTGCTACTATTTAAGAGATAACAATGGGAGAGGCTCATCGGGGCTCCATTTCTTCTAGAAAAGCAGTCTGGATAAGGAAGTTCCTGTTTATGAGAGGTAGTATGCCCTAAGGACTTTGTACATCTTTGCTTAATCATCGTCTTATTGGTAAGGCACATCTTAGCTACTTTCCATTGGGAAGTGGAGGATGTCACGACCAGGGAGGAAAGCTGGTTGGAGCAAACTAGCAGGGTGTAGAATCTGGCAGACCCAAGAGGAGCCATCTCCGAGACCAGCGCAGTTTAAACACTGGCTGTTCCTCTCATAGACCGGACCAAGACCCCTCTGTGGGAGACAGTAACCGAGAATGGGAAGTGGGTTTCGTCTCTACTGCAGTCGGGTTGACTGTCAACAATATCCAGGCTCAAAAACAGGCCGCAGGCCAGCCACAAAGAGCTGGGCTTGATCACATCAGTTCCAACCCCAAGCCAACTTCCCTTTGGGCAGGCTGCTCTGAAGCACAGGCACAATTTCTAATCTGGCGTATCTGCCGCCCAGTGCCATCTGAGTAGCAAGGAAGTTCTGGCCTCTAGGGCTCTACAAACTCACACCATCAATAAGCAGGAAGGTTTGGGAAGGAGGGGCAGATATGGAAGACACAGCATCCGTAACAGTGAGATGACATATTGAGCAGTGAATGTGTCAGGCCTTTTAAACATTAATACATTTTTTCATCTAATCTTCAGGACTGCTTTAGGAGCTGGCGTTACCCTCCTCACTCCATAAAGGAGGCAATCATAGGAAGACATGCCAAGTAGGGTGGCCAAGGTCGCACAAGCCGTAAGCAAGGGAGCCCAGCATCAAGCCACAGACTGGAAGGCAAAGCCCCTGCCCCCAAAAGTGTGCTGTGGCTTAATTACATCAACAAACTGCTTTGCACAGAGAAGCCCTGCAGTTTAAGCCATTATTAGTCAGACACACCTCTGATGCTGGAGCCACCTTGAGAGGGACCCCTCCATGCAGAGAGTATATGTGGAGTTCAAGGTCAGCACTCCGGTGTGGGCCGGTGTTGCCAGGGTTGGAGGGAGACCTCAGAGCCACCACTTTTTAGCACACTGACCTCTACCTTTATGTCACTGCACTGAACAATGGTTCACGGCGCTCAGCACCGGCCAATCATTAGGACAAATGGCCCAAGGAGTCACTGTGGCAGAAAGAACCCAAAGGCCTTCTCTGACCCTCTTTGGAGATGACATGGCCTCATGGCGATCTGAGACACCTTGTGCAGCCCGTGTGAGTTTCCTGCTCCATGTAAGTCCCCGTGGCAGACCCCTCCCACAAGGCAGGATTACACCCACAGGGGGAGGTGCTGTCTAGATAACCCTTGTATGTCAGTAGCCTGAAGTGGGGAAAGTGTTTCACCATAGAAATAATGTAAATGACAAATCATTTACCAGGCAAGCCCATAAACCCCCATTTAAACCATAATGTTTCACAAGATCCCTTCTGACTAGAATTCAGTGAAGCAGAATGTCTTTTAAAATAGCCCTGGCCCCAGCTCACACCCACTTCAGCCATCCAGGCAAGGCAACTCGGCCACAGCACACCCTGGGAAATCCCAGTGCACGCCCACTTGGGCCCCAGTTAGCCTGCCAACGCCACCCAGCACACAGGGGCACCACTATACAAGGCCACACCTTCAAGACTGGGAGGTAGCCGTTAATTCATGGAAATAAACACGAAAAGTCAAACAAAACGAGACAAAGGAATTTGTTCAAAAGGACAGAACAAGATAAAACTCCAGAAAAAAAATAAATAATGAAACAGAGACAAGTCACTTACTTGATAAAGAGCTCAGTGACAGTCACAAAGATTTTCACAAACCTTGGGAGAAGAATGAAGGGAACACAGTGAGAGCCTCAACAAATAGTTAGGAAAGATAAAAGAGAACCAAGCAGAGCTGGAGAAGACAATAACTGAAGTGGAAGATACACTAGAGGGAATCAATAGCAGATTAGATGAGACGGATCAGTGACCAGGAATATAGAAGAGTGGAAATCAGCTAATCAGAACAACAAAAAGAAAAAAAAAGAATTAAAAAAAATTAGGTTACATTAAGGGATCTCTGGGACAACATCAAGCATTACTAACATTCATATCACAGGAATCCCGACGGAGAAGAGAGAGAGAAAGGGGCAGAAAGCATCTTTGAAGAAATAATGACTGAAAAATACCCTAGCCTAGGGAAGGAAAGATTTTCAGATCCAGGAACCACAGGGAATCTCATATTCTCGTATATTAATTTTATATCCTGCAAGTTGGCTGGATTCATTTATTGGTTCTAGTTGTTTTTTGCTGGAGTCTTTAGAACTTTCTATATAGAGTACCGTATCATCTGCAAATAGTGACAGTTGTGTTTCTTTCCTTGCAATTTGGATGACTTGTTTCTTTGTATTGTCTAATTGTTGTGGCCCGGACTTCCAATACTATGTTGAATAAGTGGCAAGAGTTTGCATCCTTGTCTCGTTCCTGATCCTAGAAGAGAAGTGTTCAGCTTTTCACCATCGAGTATGACATTAGCTGTTGGTTTGTTATAAA